CAGGTGTGGAGGCCTGGGGAAGGTGAGCCATAGGGCATTTGGGCTGGGAGAAAAATTCTGAACTGGTGACAATAGGAACTGCAGGAACATAGAAAACTCATCAAATTTGTAAGTGGAATGTTCCAGTGTGGGCGTGTCTTCTTCAGTGTTCAGGTCTTGGACCTGAAGGTGTGATGCAAGTTCTCTGAGGGGGTGGAGAGCACAGGAGGGAGGCCCGTTCAGTCTCATCCTTCAAAGGGGGTTTGCTCATTTTTGGAGGTGCAGATTCTTGTCACAATCAAACACCCAGGGGCTAGGAAAGACAAGTTCATTCATTTATTCATTCACTTATTAATTTATTTATTCAGTTATTCATTCCCCACCCCCCTGAATATTTACTGAATTCCTACTAGGTTACAGGCACTGTTCTAACCCTAGGGATGCAGTAGTGAGCATGGCACCCACGTCTTCACTCAGCTTACATTCTAGTGGGAGACAATAATTAAACTAGTTAACAAACAGATATGTAATGTAATTTCAAGTTATGACAAGGTTATGAAGAAAAACAAAGGAGATAACGATGTTGGGGAGTGACTATTTAGGTGGGGCAGTGTCAGTGAGGGCTGCTCTGAGGAGGTGATATCTGGATGATATAAGAAGTGAGGCCTGCAGAGCTCAGAGGAGAGTGTGACCCAGGCAGTGTTTGGGGCCCTGGGATGCCTTCATGACTGTTGTAGGAGAGAAGCTCACTCGCCCAAGCTCTATTTTGGGGTCTGAGCTGACTCAAGTATTGGGCAACTGGCTTCCTACTTCAAGACTGTTTCTACTGTGAAATGAGGATTTTAATAGCTACCTCTGTTTTACAAGAGTCTCATGGGAATTGGTCAGTGTCTGGCTAGAGAGTATTTTTTGAACCACATCCAGCATGGCCAAGGGTGAACCTGAGGAGGGGCAGTGAAGGATTAAAGAAGACAGACAAGAGAATACAGTCGGGATCAGGTGGATCACTGCCTGGATGAGGAAACAGTGACCCAGATCACACAAAGCAAAGCAAGGGGAGTGGTCAACATGTTTACAATGTTCTTGTGAGTTTCAAATCTATTTCATTACTCAAGCCTTGTTTTGGCAGCACTTGCTGCACCTCCCACAGCCCATTAGCTACCTAGGAACAAGGGAGGACTGTAAGGTCAAGCTTAATTGTGCTAGGAGGGCTCTGCCCTCCCAACTGGGACTTGTACGTGGCTCTGCCACAGGTCAGTCCGAGGCTTGACCCTATAGCCACTCCCTACAATTTTTATTGCACAAAATTTTTTATTTATATCCTGTGTAAGTTAAGGGGAAAATGGTCAGCAACTAACTCAGCTGTGTTCTCAGAGAGCAAAGCTTGGTCTGGTTCACTCAGTGCTGAAACTCAGTTGACCCCTAAAGATGACCTTGAACTCCTGCTGATTTTCTTAGTTTCATGCCCTGTTGAACTCCAGACGAAGAGCCCAGAGTCCTAGGCTCTGGCCCCCATTTTATTGCTGACAACCTGTAATGTCTTGGGCAATTTACTTACTAGTAACTTCTACTTCAGTCTATCACCTACAAAATGGGTGTAATATTCAAAGAAAATAATGTTGTTTGCCCTACAAAGTGCTATACACGTAAATATAAAAGATTACTGATGTTAAAGGGGAACTTAGGGGTGGCCCACCTTGCTCAGGTTATGCACATTTCATGGGATCCCAACTTTGCCAAAGTGTTTCCATGGATATCCTGGGAGAGTGGCGGAGGCCACAGAGTTTGGTCCATGAGAAATACAAACATTTCTCCGTAGTTTCGCCTTATCTATGTTCAGCCTGATGCTTGTGGCCCAGGAGAGTGTATTTAAGTGGCAGAAAATCAGTGAAAAAGTCTCAGAGGAGAGCAGAGAAATGCTCTTTGGGAGCTAAAGCAGGCAGGAGAGGGACTATCTTACAAGTACCGTGCTAACCGATTGCGCCACTGGAGCTCCGAGAGGGACTATCTTTAGGGCACTTCCTTCCTCTCTCTTCCAGGAACATCTAATGAGATTCTATGTGCCTGGCACCAAGCTAATGTTTCTAGACCAGTGTGTGTGCAGCCTGTACCTAACTCTACTCTGGATGGGTGGTGGGCAGCAGTGCAATGACTGACACCCACATACTGGCCTGGACTTGGGCATCGAGAGTTGCAAGCCAGAATGTGATTGACTCACCTACCCCAAGAATCCCTCACCAGCCTGCCAAAAATCCTCTCATCTGGTCCGAAATGCCTTCACTTAGTGAGTGTTGGGTACTTTGTGTACATTATCTTACTTATTCTTTCTAACAACTCTCTGGCATAGGGACTATTATTAAACCGTGTCACAGAGGAGGAAACTGAGGTTTGCTCACTTGTACAAAGTCACACAGTGAGTTAGCATCAGAGCCGAGACCAGACCACAGCCCCCTCTCCACCTGCTACCAGCCAGTACTCCACCCGAGGCTCCCAGAGCCCCTTTGCTTGTGCACGTGAACACTCACCCACTGAAAACCAGAAGTGCTGAGAATTTACCTCCTCAACTGAGACTGCCGGCAGGTGCTGGTATAGCACAGTCCGTCCAGCTTCTTTGCCTCTTGTCGGAACAGCTCTGGAGAGTATTCTTCAGTGGTTCCCTGCAGAATAAAATGACTTTCTAGCCCAGCTGGTGTGGCTCAGTGGTTGAGTGTCGACCCATGAACCAAGAGGTCCCCAGTTTGATTCCCAGTCAGGGCACATGCCCAGGTTTCGGGCTCAATCCCTAATTGGTGGGGGAGGGAGAGGCTTGTAGGAAGCAGCTGATCGATGTCTCTCTCTCATTGATGTTTGTATCTCTCTATCCCTCTCCCTCTCTCTCTAAAATCAATAAAAACATATTAAAAAATAAGATGACTTTCTATACAGCATTAGTCTGGCTTGTTCTCATCCTCTCCCCAGTCCTACTCCCTCATGCCCCTAAAACATCACTAGCTCACAAAGGTTGGCTCCTGGGGAACCCAGTTAGGTATGGGCTGAGCTGGGGCAAGATCTTATTCAGTGACTGAGTCCAAGAGAGAATTCAGAAGCTCAGTCTGGGTGACAGCCCGAGCAAGAGTCCAGATGACCCCAGTAATTGTGTCACATGGGAAAGGCTTCCTTTAAGAGCCCTTCAGAGCTCAAGGCACCGAATTAGACATATCTACCTCATTTAATATTAAAACACCTCCCTATTAGACTTTTCCAGTTTTCATTGGAATGTTTGAGATTATACACATTCAATGAAATTCAACTTTCACTAATCTTAAAACCACAATCAAGGTGAAGTAGCATTTCTAAATTTCATCTTGGTGGGAGTCTGGTGACATGTTGCCTCAGTGATAAGACCCTTCATTTGACCTCATCATCACTGCCCACCCTTTCCTGCTAAATGTCCTGTTTCTCATATATTCATGTACATGGCATTCATGCGGGTGACATTCACTTTGCCCTATGACATGATTGCAGATCTGGGTGTCTCAACCCCAGAGTTCAGGATTGGTGCTCTACAGCTGCACCATCTAATACTATAGCCACTAGTCACATGTGGCCACTAAGCATTTGTATCATGACTGGTCTGAATTGAGATGTATTTTAAGAATAAAATATACATGAAGGATTTTGAAGACTTAGTATGAAAAAAGAATGTAAATTATCATTAATAATTTAAAAATATTTATTGCATGTTGAAATGATAATATTTGAGGTATATTAAATAAAGGCTATTAAAATTAATTTTACTTCTTTTTACTTAAAAAAATAAAATTACTGGAAAATTTAAAATGGCACATATGGCTCTCATTATGTTTCTATTGGGCCGTGCTGCTCTACAAACTCAAACAGAGGAGGCTTGGGGAGTGAGCTTGTCCAGTGCCTCCCGGGAAGGCAGGCTGAGCTGGCTGGGAAGGAATTGTGTGGTTGCTTTGATGGCAGGGTTCTTTATGGAATGAGGAGACAGCAAGGTAGGTCCTACATGACATCACTTTAAAAGATGTGTGCTTCTGTAGACAGCTCTGTGCCCCCCTGGCCAAGAGGATTTATGGCTGAAGAGAGTGGCCATTGGTCCAAATGACATCACCGCACCTCCCGTTCCAGGCTGGGGTTTGTTAACATTTCAGAATTCACATCTCTTTTTTTTCATATTATCGTAGTCTGTGAGGAGAAAGAGGGAAGGAAAGAGAGCTGCTTTGGCTCAGTGGATAGAGCAAAGGGTCCCATCAAGGGCACGTACCTCAGTTGTAGGCTTCTCCCGGCCCAGGCCCTGGTCGGGGCTCATGCAGGAGACAACCAACCGATGTGTTTCTCTCACATCAATGTTTCTCTCTGTTTTTTCCTCTCTCTTCCACTCTCTCTAAAAATCAGTGGAAAAAATCCTTGGGTGAGGATTAAAATAATAATAATAATAATTTAATAATAATAATGTAATATATAATAATAAATATAAGGGGGGCAAAAGAAAGAGAGAAGAGGAGGGAAGAGAGAAGGGTAGCGGATTATTGTTGATAAGGATGGAGGAAGAAGGACAGAGGGAACCCGAGGGAGAAGATCTCATTAACTAAAATAAAAGGTTCAAAAGTAGGCTAGTCAAGTAATTTGAACTGATGAGTGATTTCCAGTTTGTGGATGTACATTCCATACCAGGGCTTTGGGACCTTCCCATTTCAGCGACGTGGCTGGAAGATAGTGGCACCTGTTCTCATAATTTTAGAGGCTAGGAGTCCAAGATCATGGTGGCAGCCAGCATGGTCTGTTTCTGTGAAGACTCCCATCCTGGCTTATGGATGCCAGTGGTGTGCTCACATGGCAGAGAGAGGGTTTTAGTCTCTCGTCCTCTTTTGATAATGACACCAATCCTATTAGATTAGGATCCCATCCGCATGACTTCGTTTATCTGTTCCATGGGACAGACAGGTCTGAAGGGGGGTCTTTAAAGTCCTGGAACCAAGGGTCGCAGTGGGACTTACATTCTCATGTCTCTCCTCCAGGGCCATGTTCTGCAATGACTTAAAGGAAAAGTATGAGAAGAGGATCATTATCAAAGGAGTCGATGCTGAGACCATGCACACTCTCCTGGACTACACCTACACCAGCAAGGCGCTGATCACCAAGCAGAACGTCCAGCGGGTCCTGGAAGCGGCTAACCTCTTCCAGGTGAGTGAACAAACAGGCTCAGTGCTCTCTTCTGCATGTTTCCCCAGAGGCCTGCCTGGACTGGCTCCCAGGTCTGTACCTGGGACACACACGCATAACTAGCTGGGCCTGTGCTTACTTGAAAGTCAGAAGATGCCTCTTTGGTGAGATGAGGCAGTGACTCCTTAATGCAATGAAACCAGGGGATCTTGGTGTCTAATACCTACACTCGGTTCCTGACTCCAGGATCAATGCCTATAATTTACAGAAGCCCAATTGGAGCCAGGCCTTGAAGTCACCAGTTCATATACTTAACTTCTAAGCCTTAGCACAACTTTATGGGTGGGGAAAGTAAGACAACTTGAAGATAAGTGACAAGGCTAGGATTTGAGCCCTGGGTTCTCTGAGTCCAGAGGCCACATGCTTGCCACCACACCACGCAGCCTCTTGAGGAGGAGTGTGTAGATTCTGGAGAAAGCAAAACCCTGACTGGTCAGCACTTTGTGGTAGGTGTGAAAGAAGAGCACCTCTCATGAGGGGTATAAAAGAAGATGAGATAGAGAACCCTCAGACTTAAGTTTCATTATTGGCATTTGGCTATGTTTGTTTCAATCCAATTTTATAATTGGATTACCATATTTAATTCACAGAATAATTAGACCTATAGATGATGTTAATTGTATCCACAATTATCACAGGGCTCCTATCCCCAGGTAACCAACTTTGCCTAGGTCTAAGATTACACTTTGAACTTGGTTCCATTGGATTACAACAGAGATCATCTCACTGAAGATGATTTTTTAAATCCTCACCTGAGGATATTTTTCCATTGATTTTTTAGAGAGAGTGGAAGAGAGAGGGAAAGACAGAGAGAAACATTGAAGCGAGAGAAACACATTGATTGGTGGCCTCCTGCACCCAAGGCCCGGGCAGAGGAGGTGCCTGTAACTGTGGTACATGCCCTTGACTGGAATCAAACCCGGGACTCTTTGGCTGACGCTCTATCCACTGAGCCAAAATGGCTCGGGCTGAAGATGATTTTTATGATAAATCCAGGGACAGGCCAGGTCAGGTCTTGTCCATGGTTTGGAACTTTAGGTGGTGACATCCTCTTGGATCATTACCAGGTCAGCAACTGAGGAGAACAGAAAACAAAGTCTGGGAAGGGAAGGAATGAGGAGTCCAGGGTCAAGACCATGGGCAGTGGGATTATCTTGGGTGAGGGTGGGGACTGTGCAGGGCTTATGAAGACCAGCAAGGAAGAAAGCGGGGAAAGAGGGAGCAAAATTTTATTGTCTCATTTCCCTCAGGGAACTTTAAAGATACAGAGAAAATTACTTCCAGTAAGGCTGGTCACACCTTACCTGGTGGTATCTCCAAGTTATTTACTACCTACACCCTCAGTCCCTCACCTGTTCTCTGTCCTTACCTGCTTACACACTCAGGCTTCTGATTGGTAGGAAAACACCCCTTGTTATGTGGAGGAGGAGTTCAGCAACTTGTCGCTCAGTACCCTCACCTCATTGCCTCCACCCAACACTCCAACAATCTGACTTGGGGGAAATTCCTCCCATGTCATGGAGAGGCCTCTAGCGAGTACAGCTTTTATGCTTTTTCTGAATCTTCTATTAAAAGGTAATTTTAATAGAAGGTTCCCTCCAAATGACCAATAACCTTGAGCAGAATCACTCCATTCACCATTATTCAATCCAGTCACAGCTGCCATTGTCATCTTCAGGCTAATCTCCTTAGCCAGAGAGGATTGCTGACATCCAAAGATGGACAGGTAACACTGACAATAATAATAGTAATAGCATTTGTGGCGTCAAGTATAGCATCTGACACCAAAATAGATGCTCAATGAATACAAATTTTTTGAGTACTTACTATGTGCCTTGAGTGACAAAGTTGGGGCTAGTAACCAGGTCTCCTGTTTCCCACTGGTTGAAAGGAGTTCCTGTATGATGATAGGCTAAGGAGGTAGATTTTCCCCCCCTCAAATGCAGTTTTTAATAATTTTAAATTGCAATAACATTAAAACTCATTTCAGAAAAATCAGAAATGCATACAAACAAAAGGAATGTAAAGTTACCTACAATCCCCTCCTATTTTGAGAGAATATGGCAGCTTGCTTGTTTAGGTCTCCAACTGTCATCTTAGAGGGTGTGTCAATTTTCTGTTATGTTGCTACCATAACAAATTACCACAAACTGGGTGCCTTAAAACAATAGAAATTTATTCTCTCACGGTTCTGGAGGCCAGACGTTCAAAATCAAGGGGTCAGCAGGGCTATACTCCTTTTGGAGACTCTAGGGGAGAATCTGTTCTTTGCCTCTTCCAGTTTCTGCTGGCTGCTGGCTGCTGGCCTCCCTTCACTGTGGCCACACCACTCTAATCTCTGCATTCATGGTCCCATTGCCTTCTCCTCTTCTGCGTGTCTTCTCTTTTGTGTGTCTATATTTTATAAAGATACATGTGATTGCATTTAGAAGCCACCAGATAAACTCCTCCTAAGTTCCTCAACTTAATCATAGTATTTTGCCATATAAGGCAATATTTATAGGTTTTGGGGATTATGACATGCACATATCTTTTTTCGGGGGGAGAGGGCACCATTCAACCACTAGAGAGGGTTTCTTTTTTTTTTTCTTTTTTTTTTTTTAGCAGGCTTAATTCACTTTATTTTTCTTGTATAAAATTATGTGGTGGCCACAGCGGGAGCCTGGGTCCTCTGCACAGAAACTCTGGTGTGGGTCTTGACAAGATGGTCAGTGAATTCCTGATAGGGAGACTTGGTGAACACGGTCTCTTTCCAGAGATCTGGGGTGAGATAGCTGTAGGTCTTAGAGATGGCATCAAAGGTGGCCTTGGCGCCTCCGGGCCCTCCCCCAGCACCGGCGTCATCCGCCATTTGGTGTTTCGTCGGAAAAGAAGCGAGGGTTTCTTCAAATATCCTTTTGATGATTTGATCCTTGGCTGTTCATCTTTAAGATTGAAGCCTTAACATGCTGGTTTGAAGCTCAGTGCACATGAAGCAGGATGGGAGGCTGGTAGACTAGAGAGTTTTACCAGGGCTATCAGGTGACCTGCCAGTTTTTTAAATTGGAGATCCCTAAATGTCAATATCTGTTGAACTGCTCCTAGGATTGTTTGTTTTCTCCAGATTAGGATCTTCATTCTCCTGCCCAGGGGATATACGTTAGCTACATATGCTCTTGACTGGGTGTGTAAGGGTGGCTGTATGTGCAAATCTTTACTTAACCTCCTTACGTTAAGCCAGATGTTTCTGGTATTCCTGAGTCTACCTCTCTGATGTGGTTTCTCCTGAGGCTAACTCTTCTTGTCCAGGGGGAGGGAGAGTGGGAGTTGTTAGACTGCAAGAGGTGAGGAGAAGGACCAGGAGGCTTAACTTCTTAAACTGACACTCTTTTATCAGCCCCCACCTACCCTTTCTGGCTCCTTGGGACTTTAATATCCCTGTTTTTTTGGGGGGGGGTTCTGAGGGACAAATTAGTTCCTCTATTGGTCCTCTCAGCAAAGCCAGTCACCAGTCTTCATAGTCTGTGGTTTGGGGTTACTGTGTCTCCTGGTTTCATTGAGGATGGAGTTTATGCTTCTGTTTCTTGTTCTCCTTTCAGTTTTGGATAGTTTTTCAAGAGGCTATGAGAGCTCTTTAGGTAGTAAACACTGTAATCTTTTATAATAACATTGCAAATATTTTCCATTGGCCATTTAACTCATAAGTTTAGTTACAGCTTTTTATGTAGAAAAGTTTAAAACTGGTGTTGAGTTGAATCTATTAATCATTTACTTGATGATTTGTGCCATCGGTGTGCATGTGTAATAAGATCTTCCCCGTTGATTGATTATATATTTAATCACTTATAATTTCATTTAGTTTTGTTTTATCTATAGCTTTGATATTTAAATCTTTTATATATCTGGAAATTATTTTGGTATAAAGTTGTTTTTTCTTCCTTGTCTTCTTCCTCTTCTTTTCATTTTCTCCCAAGTGGTGAGCTTCAGTGGAGAGTTTAGATTTAACGAGCAAGTTGGGAGAGGAGGACAGAGACAGACGAGAAACAGAGCAAGCTCTGGTTATTGTTGATTCCCCATTTCTGGTAATCCTTCACCTCAGATCTTTCCAAAGCTTGTTCACTTTCCAGGCAAAAAATGATACATTTCTCTCTGCGGCCATTTTATTCATTTTCTTATAAGTGTTAATTTTTATGAAAATACAAGAAGAATGCTGTGGGCTTCTGGATATCTAGTTAACCCACTTTCTGATTTCTCTTGCTTCTAGACTTTGCTTTGAAGTCTCAGCCATAGAAAACTGGGAATATGTTCACACTTGACGGTACCGTAAGGGATAGAAGTTCCTAGGTTGTTGAAATCACCTTGTGGTTTTAAAAATTTATTTATTTTTGGATGGATAAAACATATCTCTGTTCCAAATTCAGAGACACAAAAGGGGAGACAGTGAAACATTTCTTCACTGTTTGCAGTCATACTGTCCTTTTTATTCCACGCACATACCAGTATACATGTGCGGATCACTCTTACTCATTGCCTCCAGTTTTGAAATACAAATGTTAGCAGACTATATGCTTGGTTTTGCATCTTGGTTTGTTGTTGTTTTTTGGCTTCACAGTATATTTTGGAGATTGTTACAGGTCAGTATGTGTAGAGCTGCCTGTTCTTGCAATGGCTGAATAATGTTGTTGGGGTCTTTTTAGACATGAAATATGCTGTTATCTGTAATAGTTTCTTATAAAACAGAGTGGCGATAACATGGGTTTCGGTGATAGGAACCTGGGTTTAAATTCCTATTTAGTCACTTATTTGCTGTGTGGCTGTGGACAAGTTACTTAGATTTTTTAAGCCTCATTTTCTCATTTGTAAAGTTAGGATGATAAGAATAGCTACCTTATCAGGGAGAGTTATTATTTGGATTAAATGAGGTGATATTTGTAAAGTACCTGATATGTAATAGATATTAAATACAGGTTTCTTCCCATCAT